CATTATATATTTATATATTTCCTAAAATTCTAATAAAACCTATTCAGTGACAATAAATGCTAATCATTGAGTCACATGATCCACACATAACCTGTCTATTTTTTAATTAAATAAAGGCTATTACCTTTGTTTCAATCACCTGCACAGCTGGCTCATTTCACAGCTTTATTTTGAAATTCTTATCATCATTCTTATGGTGTTTTCTGAATTGTGATGTGCATATTTCAGTTGTGAATATCCACATTTAACATGCCATTCATGTTGTTGTTTTGTAGTGTGAGAGTAGACTACTAATTATGGATTTTATGGATTTCTAAATAACGTTAAAAACGCGGAAGGGGTTAACAGGTACGTTATTTTCAAAATAAAATAATAGTAAAAAGTTGTTTTACTTTAATAAGTAAACATCACACTGATAAGCTCGGTTTGTGTAAATGAATGACGTTGACGCAGACAATAGATGTTTTTGGATAATTAATCACCAGCAAGAGATGAAGCTGTTCCCTTGGAAATATCTGCGCGCGCCCGCGGCTCGCGCTGGTCCTGTGTTGATGTGATTGCTTCCTGCGCGCTCCCGCAGACGATCCATCCAGAGAGAACAGCTGATGCCGTGGACAAGGGTAGACACGACAGATAAAGGAAACCCTTCTCTCGTAAGCTATTCATTTTATATAAAAAAATGTAAACCCGCTGCAGGACTTGTCGCACAGGTGTTGTGTTGTTTTTTATGATGCAGCTCTCGCAACGCTCGGTTTTTCTGCTGGCTAGCTCTCCTCCTCCTCCAGGAAGTGAAGTCGCATCCACCGCTGCAGGCCTGAAATAATTTCGCGTATTTTACCGCATTACCTCTCGGCCAGGCCGTCATATTTCATATGTGTTTTGTTCCGGACCTATTCGTTCACATTTCTGAATTGGCGCTGCATTTAGCTTGTTTGTGGTCAGCATATCAGCTGTGTTCCGCATCARTCTTAGCTCTCTGACGTCATTCTGCTTTGGATGAGTGCTTAGAGTAGTCGTCCTCTGATGAGACAAGTTGTAGGTTGATAACTCCACTATTCAGTCATGTCAAAATGTCACTGGCCAATACACTGAACGCTTCATCCCCTCTGATGTGTCCATCAGTGTATGAATATGATTTAAACCAGTGTTTCCCAAAGTTGGGGTCGGGACCCAAAGTGGGGTCCCGAAACATCAAGATGGGGTCCTGAAAATATTTTCTGAATTAATTACATTTTTGCCTTAGTTGTTACAAAGGAGTGAGGTTAGTATATTTAAAATGGATAAATGTAATATAAAAAATATTGTTACTATGCCCATGTTTAGTTGACCTGATACAAATGTTTATTATACAAAAATATCTGGGGGCACAGGTCTCTGCTACTGTTATTTTGTGGGTCAAAAGCTGAAAACTTTGGGAACCACTGCACTTTGGTTCCCAAAGTTGGGTTTGGGACCCAATTATGGTAATGGTAATGGACTGAACTTATAGAGCGCTTTTCAAGTCCCTTCGGACCCCAAAGCGCTTTACACTAACAGACATTCACCCATTCACACTCACATTCACACACTGATGATGGCAAACTACACTGTAGCCACAGCTGCCCTGGGGCACACTGACAGAGGTGGGGCTGCCATGCATCGGCGCCACCGGACCCTCTGACCACCATCAGTAGGCAAGTTGGGTGAAGTGTCTTGCCCAAGGACACAACGACTGAGATGGCTGGACGGGGGATCGAACCAGCTCCAGGACGACTCCCCTAACCACTCCGCCACAGCCGCCCCATATTAATTATTATGGGTCATGAAGCACCTTGGATAATCTCCATAAATCAATTTAAAGGGTAATAAAGTAATTGCTGATGTAATATTTTCCATATAATTATTACATAAACACAAAATAAGTATAAATAAGTATTTACATTTGTGTACAAGCTGTCAAAAAGCTTGTGTTTTTAGGGTTATTAATGAAGTTCGTGTACTCAGACCAGTAATATTTGGGGTCACAAGTTTTTGCCATGAATATTTTGTGGGTCAGAAGATAAAAAGTTTGGGAACCACTGATTTAAAGCACTGATTAGTTCCTTATAGAATGATTTATCCAGATTATTTTTGTAGAGAGAGGTAGTGAAGTGCTGAATAAATGTGTATGAATGGGTAAATGAGGGCATGTATGTCGTAAAGCCTTTTAATATTCTGGTTGGATAGAAATAAGTCCGTTTGACAATTAATATTCATTCAGCTTTCATTGGATATGCTTTTACTTCTCTACGTCCAATAAGGCATCCAAAATACACAATATGGCATTGTTATGATGTTTCAGTTCCATTCAATTCAGTTTATGTATATAGCGCCAAGTCACAACACACGTTGTCTCAGGGCACTTATACATGAAAAAAAGAACAATCTAAAGAAGAAACCAGCAGATTGTGTTGAATCACTTCATCACAGTCTCCCATCCTGAGCAAACGGTGGAGAGGAAAAACTCCCTGCTAATCAGGAAGAAACCTCCTGCAGATGTAACAAAAGTAGCTTTCTTCTTTGCTGGTAAAGGCCAGTTTTCCCCTAATGATTTAACAACTTCTCAGTTTCTCATATCAACCTGTTATTTGACTAGCAACAAACCAGGAAGAACTTCAATTTTAGTTTTTAAATTTACAAAAATAATAATAATAATAATAATAAAAAATAATAAAAGAAAAGAAAA